GGACAAACGTCCTTCTAAAACGGCACTGTAAGGAAAACGTTCTTGTGAGGAACGGTCGGGCTTTTGCTCATTTTGGTCTTCAAACGTATATGTTTCTCAATAAAGGTTTCCGGGTAACCATTTGACCGAATAAAATGAATAAAACGTGTCTCGGACTGCAATGTATCCTCGCTGCAAGTGGCACGCACTCGGTATGATAAACATCTGATCAGGTTGCGTTTATATTTCAGGGGGATAAAGCTAGCAAAATGTGTATACTGTCCAACGGACGTTGTTTTACGGAAGACGCTTCTTTGGATGGCACCGTCGTCTCGCTTTGTTAATTACACATCTAAGAAGGGTAGCTGTCCGCTCTTCTCTAATTCGCAGGTGAAACGAATAGCCGGATGATACTTGTTGAATTCGTCGAGAAGCTGTGTGGCAAATGTGAGGATCACAAACAATAAAAGTATCGTCGAGGTATCTGCAATAAATGTCGATATGTCGAATTGTCTCTCTCAAATTTTCGTTCTCCAGTTTGGCTAGGAAAATATCTGCCAATATGCGATCTAGTGGAGACCATATGGCTACTTCGTCGATTTGTCTATAGAACCGGTCATTGTACAAAAACTGTATGTTAAATGTACATCTGAGAATCAAATATTTCATTTTGTTCACCGGAATTCCTACTTGGATGTTGCTAGAAACTATGAAGTCGCAAATATGATCAACTGTCTCTATCAGTGGTACGTTTGTAAACAAGGATTCCACAGCAAAGGACATCATAGTTTTGTTGAGAACATTCAGGTTTTCTATCTTCTCTATAAAGCTGAACGTATCCTTCAGGCTGTTTGGCAATCTTTCGGCTTATTGGTTCTAGTAGTTCTACCATCCATTGGGTGATGGCATGGTATGGCGAACTTGACATGTCAATTATGGGTCGTATCGGAACGTTTGGTTTATGCACCTTTGGTAATCTATAGAGCCGCGGCAGCGAGGATCCAGTTGGAACCAGATTTTCGAAAACCGCTTGTGATATGTGACCTTCTATCTTTAGTTCTGTCAAGGTGGACGTTACCATGGATTCCGTTTGCTCTGTCATGTCTTTCTCGTGTGGTCTAGCGGAAAATTTTGTGGAGTCGCTGAGGATATTCTCTAGTTTAAAGTGATAATCCGTTTTATCGAATAACACCCAGCCGGCCCCTTTATTCGATCGAGACATTATGATATCCTTGTTTGAATTGAGACGTTTCATGGCGCCGATATGTTTCTTTGTCAAAATAATTCTTGTTTGTACTTGTGTGTTCTGATACTGGTGGCAATAGTGTACAAGAGATGTCTTGAGTTGATCAACTAGATGAGCATGGCTAGGTGTTAAATCGCTGAGTTGATGCATGAGGCTTTCAAATTGTCTCTGTCTCTATCTGGTGAAACTTCGGTTCAAAGGCACAACCTTCAGGAGCAAGGGGCAAAACTTCAAACTGCAATTTATCGTGTTGGACAGATGAATAGTTGTGTACGTACCTTTCCGGGTCGTTCGGGAACTTCAACTGGAGACTACTGGTCTCGAGGCTGTTTACGAGTTTGGCGTATTTTCGTTTAGTAGCTTTGGTGGTTATATCCATTACGTACTGCCGGAAGAGAAACTTGTATTCCGCTGGGAGTTGGTCGACGGATAAACAGTACTGGGTGGACAAGCGGTCCATTTTGTTCATCTCCTTCCGAGCAGCATCCATCAGGTTCATTGCATGTTTTTTTAGAGTTCTGGATGTCGGTTAGATATGACAACGTCGCAGATATTTCCAATAGGGTTTTGGATTACGGTTCTGATCGATACATTCCCTGGTAAATCGCACAATTGTCTCTGCTTCAGCGGACCTGGCTTTGAACTTCAACAACTTGTTCAAGTCACATATAGCCACAGGGTGTCCGCAATGTTTCAAATCGTAAAATAGTCCCATAGACGATGTAGAAAACGTTATTTGCGAAGAAAGTTCTTTTCGATATATCACATCAGGCGTTTGGGATCCTTGAGATTATGTGTTGTTTACTGTTGGATGAATAACTAGATTAGGGAAGAATCATTTTGTTCCGATGCCAGAAGAATTGTTTGATTCTGACTACTCCATTGCACTGGCATCAGAAAATTGAGAGACAGAAGTACAAAGTAGACGTGTGCCTGTAGACAAGAAACAGGGTCCATGCATAACACCTACATATGGTAACAACGGGCCTTTTATTTAATCACACTACCCACAAGTGTTTAGTTACTGAGTGAAGGTTATATGAAATTCGGGCCATCTTTACAATACTCCCATAATTTCCAGGAATCTGTCTTTCCGGTGGAAGTCAGAAGTTTCTTGGGCTTGGAGTTTTGTCCAGCGTGTCGCCAACATAGCTGCGTCTCCGCATCGGTTCAATCTTCGGTCTTCAGGATTGAGAGCAGAGGATGAGGTGTCCGTGTGAGC